GTCTTCCAGGTTTTCTTCTTTTTCCTTTATATTAAGTTCCTGGTTAAAGTATTCCACCCATCTATTTAATACATCTTTTTTGTTAATATATCGCCATTCTGACATCAGCATTGTCTTGTGGTTGCCCTAAATTCTTTCCTGTTGATGTTAACTTTCTTATAGAATTCTTTCTCTCTGTTGAGGTCTTCTATATATTTAAGTTCCTCATTCAGGTGGTTTCATTGTTTCTTTTGTGTATCCTATTTTCTTCTCATCTTTTTGTCTGCTAATTCTCTTCAGTTGTTCTAGTTCGTCAGGTAAGCATGTTCCTCTAGGCTTCATTTTTTTCTTTTGTTATCCAATAACTGGATGTTAACGACAATTATGGCATACTCCTTTAGATCTTGTGTGGCTCTAAAGAGTGCATGGGCATCTAGGTTTGTCCAATCCCTCATGTTTTTAAGCCCTGAGTATTTCTTGCCTACGATCCCCCATTTTCCTTCTATCTTTTCCTTCATAATTAGCTTTAAGAACTGGTACTTGCAGTTACGAAATATATGACCCAAGTAGGTTTTCTTCTTTTTAATATTGACAGCAATTCTAGTTCTCTGCCCATTCGATTTAATACTCGACATTCGTTGTGTGATCTGTCCAGGGAATTTTAAGTATTTTTTTAAATACCCACATTTCAAAGACCTCCAATCGGTTCATCACATTGGCCTTTATGGTCCAAGTTTCTACACCATATAGCAGTATGGAGTAAATCTAACATTTTACAAAGCTATATCGAAGCATTAAGTTAATAATCCTGTTGCTTAGCAAGGTTCTCATATTAGTAAATGCTGTTCTAGCTTGCTCAATCCTGCTACGTATCTCCATGTCTGGATCTAGATCTTCAGTTATCCAACTACAGAGATATCTGAACTTGGGGACCTTTTGGATGTACTTATGGTTTACTCTTATATTTGATTGCATATTTTGTATTCTACTAACCACCATTACCTTCGTCTTGTCTATCTCCTTTCTATGTGTTTATTCTATACTCTTATGTCTACAGTGTTTATTCTATCTATTAGTCATTGTAGCGCTTTTGGCTATCAGCTATTATGACTGTATCATCAGCATAGCGAAGGTTACTAATAGTCTGTATGTTTATTTTGACTCCTTCTTCAGTGTCTCTTAAGGCTCTATAGAAAATCGTTTCAGACTAAAGATTAAAAAGGAGGGGTGATAGAACACAACCCTGTCGTACACCCTTTTCGATTGACAAATATGATGTAGACTCCAGTCCTACTCTCACAGATGCCACTTGATTCCTATAAAGGTTCTTAATGATTTTAAGGTCATTCTCATCTATTGAACGGTTCTGGAGCAATCTTAGAATAATTAACATAATCAAACGCTTTCTGGTAATCTATAAAGCATAGAAAGATATCGTTTTGCTGATCTCTGCAAAGTATGTTATCTGCAGTATGCTATCCATCAGAAAACTTTTGTTATGCCGAGGATTATTACTATATTTTATACAATTGATAAACATACTGAAAACTTGGCAATGCATGCTTTTCAGATAACAATTTTTGAATACTAACAATACCGTAATGTTAAATCAGCTGTTTTATTATTTGACATAATTCCAGTCTTCAAGTAACCTAAATTCTAACTCTGTTATTTTTTATATACATTTAATCTGATATTGGTAGTGCAAATCTAAAGTATCTCTACACAAACAATTAATGTCGTAGAGTATATTGCGCACTATAGAGTATTAGTTGCAATTGTCTTGATGATTCTTGTTTCAGAAGGAACACGAACAGCGTAGGCGAAGAAAGAGCAAAGCGCAATTTTTCGAGATGATTCAGGAGATACGCAGGTAAGTAGCAAGGCATGCGTCCCTCCCCAATACTCAATTACTATTAAAATTAAAGCACCATCCGTAGGCAGCAGCAGGAGGAGCGGGAACCACCGCTGGAGTCCGTTACCGAGGTGGATTCTGAGTATCAGTTGAGCCCGGATGAGAAAAAGTCGAGATTAAGTCCGAGCATTATCAAAAGAACTTTCTTAAGGTATGATTTTGTTGTGATTTGATAATAAATATTATGCTAGCTCGCATCAGAGTCTATTGGGTATTATTTTAGAGGTATAGAAATGTAAGTTGGTACCACTTTTTTAACTATTGTCCATTTTGTGGTTCTGTTTGTAATACGTATTACGTAATACGTCCATTTTATGGTCAACATAATAGTCCATCAGAACAAGTAGTTCGATTAACCATGGAACGTTTTTGTACTACGTTTACTCTAAATGATAATATGCATCCACAGACACGCCGTACAGTACGTACAGAAGAAGTTTGTAACTAGATTTAATTAAGCATCAGATCTAAGTAACCCAATTTAGTTTAAAAATTTAAAATCCTTTTAATAACATTAATAATTTCTTATTGCGAAACGCGATTGTTTGTTTAAGACATTGAATATCGGTATAACTGGAACACGCGCTGACCTAATAAAATTTGCAATGTAATCCTAAGCTTGCTTGATATAGTGTACAAATTATATTAGTAAAACATTATTATATAAACAAACGCATGCGAGTAAAATAGCTACAAAATAACTGGAGCAAATCATTATTATTAATAATTAAGAATTAAGGATGAACAGTCGAAGCTAGTGTTGTCATCTGTCAACTGGATACTCTCTCTATTATTGTAGTTAGATAACTAATAAAGTAATTATGAGTATCCAGTGTGTTCAAGTTAATCAACCACCTACGGGGGTAAACTACGCCTAGAGTTCTACTCTATGGAACTCTTGATGGAAGCAATCCCATAAACTTTATAGGATTATCCACCTTTATTACAAGTTATTGCTGCTGTAGAGCGTAACATAGAGGATGACCCGAATCAGTCATCCATCAGCTGTTGGATACGTGTCCATCGACTTTATGGAAGATTTTAAGGAAATATCTTGCTTTGTGTGCTTACAAAATCAACTCATGCAGTAATTAAAGGTACATCATCACCTAGCAAGGCATTTGTAGACCCGGAAGTGGCTCTAAAACGAGATTGCCGTTGATTCCGATTTTCATAAGAGAATTTTGTTTAGTAATGAAGCTTACTTCTGCCCTAATTTGCCCTAACAAAACTGCCCTATTTGGAGTTAAGATAATCCTTAAATGTATGTTTAAAAACCGTTACATTCACAAAAACTGACTGTTTCTTGTGCTTTATGGTCTGGTGGAATCATTGGACCTGCTCTTTCAAAAACAATGCTGACCAGAACGTTACAGTCGATCATAACCGCTATAGAGCCAAAATTATTGACTTTTTTATTACCTATTTGAACAAGCATGATGTGCAGGAGCTGCCATTTTAATAAGACTATGTAACATGTCACAAAACTCGTGCCACAATTGATTTATTGAAGGAAATATGGTTTCACATTTCGGACCGTAGATTGTCCTCAAAGATCGTGCAATTTAACACTGCTAGTTTATTTTATGTGAGGATATGTGAAGGTGCTAGTCTACACCGATAACCATAAATCCATTGACCACTTATAGGACAACATTCGCCTTATTATTGCCGATATATGGCGAAAAATATTGGAAATAGTGATTTAAAATTGGATATAAGGATTAGACTACGTCAGAGCCAGCCATGACGGTCATTATCGGCCAGATTATCTTTCGAATAAAGTCAATTTCATGTAAATTGATAAAAATCATTATTGTTTTATTTCATTTAAAACTTCTATACATATAAAAAACATCCTTTATATTTATATCAATATACACTTTGTTCATTTAAAAGGAATCCCCCTGAATATTTCAGAAATGCGGTATATAAGAGATAAGTGCCAAGAAACATCAATTTTAAAATTTTTGTTGCTTTTATATTGGATAATCCTAATTTTTATGACATCACCATGACGTCGTGATGACGTCATCCATTTGGTTTTCTTGTCTTTCACGTCCCCGCAAAACCTTCTCCATTAAACCGTTTTGGCTTTACGGATTTTATTTACTGTACTGGGTCAGTTTTTCTTTGTTGGATTTGGCCCCACTAAATATTCTTCTTACTGCTCCAACCTCTTTGCAAATATCTAGTCTGCCAAGATGTTTTTTTTTTATTTTGCTTTCTTCATCTCTCTGGACAGCTCTTGTGGTAAGTCATCGTTATAGCCTCACTTTCTTTTTCTTTTACCTATTTAAGACCGTTTATGTCTCTAATGGTACCTTTTTTTCCTTCAGTGTTTCTCAATAATTCTACCTTGTATAATAATTATTTCTTAAGATGAAGTGTAAAAAGACTCATTTCTACTATTGATGTTTGTACTTCTTCACACCAAATTATTAGTGTTAGCATTCTCCTGCTGGATTTGGAATATATATCCTTTACAATACCTGAATGACAGACCTTCTGATCTACTGCAAATGAGGCAGAGCAAACCAGCTATCTTCTACTGCGTTGCTCCGTGGATGAGTTTAAGATACCTGTAACAGAATCTCCGGTGTAAAACTCGGAATTCTTGACGTTACTATATACCACCTAAGCTCAGGGTTTTTCTCCAAAGGAATTATATAGTATTTTACATTGTTTTGGCATTAGGCCTACAACCTTTTTATTATGAGGATAGGTTCCTGAAGTAAGGATAAAATTTAAGCCTTATTTGTCAAATATTTTGCACAACATAGCCGTTGCAGCCTTGACGCGCTGAAGGTTTTCTTGCAGGACCTTTGTGCAACCACCTAGTAGCTGTGTAAATACTACTGATCTACCTCACTCCTGGCCTCTGGCATTTTGGAAGAACTAACCATCTCCAGTTTTGACGGTACAACCCTTTTTAGAAATACCTAAAATCTTCTAACCTTAAGCGCTCTTCGCTCTACCATTCTAAGAGAGATTTTACTTGTCCCAATTAAGTGCTCCCTTAGAACTTTGGATCTCAGATGTCTAAACCCCATTTTTTTTATTTTAACCTAGCGAAATTTTTAATATAGTGAAAAATTTAACTCAAATGAGAACACTCACAGGATTTCACTGGTAAGTTGCTGAGTAAATTGGAAACAATTTCAATCCGATAATGGCAATAGCTTTTGACCTAATAACAGGAGAAATTTTAAGTTGAAGAAAGGTTTTTATCAAATGAGCAAAGTTTAACTATGTACATGATAGATAATAAACAGTGTGTCATAATTGTTTAAAAAAATTGTAACGACTTAAGCAGAGTGGAGTCATATCGACTCATTTTTATCCACTATAACCAATGATATCCAAGTTGTTCAAGAAATTGATCTTGACCTATCTTACCTATCATCTACCAAAGAACATCACATCATTTTGGCGATAAATTCTGTAGGCTGTACACACAGCAGAAATCTTAATCAGAAAATACTAAAAACATTGAAGAAGTTGAGGTTATTTTACTTCCGGTAAAACTAGATATATATATATATATATATATATATATATATAATATATATATATATATATATATATATATATAACACTGTTTTTGATGGGTTGGAGTCAATAAAAGGGGCTATTTGTTGACTATTTTTTACTCGAGCTTTCAATTGTGATTACAATTTTTATCAAGAGCTTCTAAAAATACAAAATATCTTACAAAGTTGAACTAGAAATAAATAATGTTGTTGTTAACTCACCAAATAAAATTAGTTATTTATATAAAACTGCTGCTAACATTATTACAAAAAATATTATTAAAAAAATGTTCTATTCTAATAAATGTTTCTCTGACAAATTTAGATAAAGTTTCTTAACAAAAAACAATTGGATTTATAAACAAAAATTGAATAGCTACAATTCAGCCTAAATGACGTAAATAACAACTTAAAAATTTTTATTTTTGACATATTGTCAAAAATAAAATTTTTGTTTAAAAATTCTTCTTTGTTTAGTAACAAAAAAGAAGAAGATTTATTCATCATTGATAGATGCCCGAAAAAATGTAACAAATACATGGAAAATTCAAAATGTGATATTTTACTGACTGCATAAATTAAATAGAAATTATATAATTATAAATTTTGCTTATTTTTGATGGGTTGGAGTCAATAAAAGGGGCTATTTGTTGACTATTTTTTACTCGAGCTTTCAATTGTGATTACAATTTTTATCAAGAGCTTCTAAAAATACAAAATATCTTACAAAGTTGAACTAGAAATAAATAATGTTGTTGTTAACTCACCAAATAAAATTAGTTATTTATATAAAACTGCTGCTAACATTATTACAAAAAATATTATTAAAAAAATGTTCTATTCTAATAAATGTTTCTCTGACAAATTTAGATAAAGTTTCTTAACAAAAAACAATTGGATTTATAAACAAAAATTGAATAGCTACAATTCAGCCTAAATGACGTAAATAACAACTTAAAAATTTTTATTTTTGACATATTGTCAAAAATAAAATTTTTGTTTAAAAATTCTTCTTTGTTTAGTAACAAAAAAGAAGAAGATTCTATTTAATTTATGCAGTCAGTAAAATATCACATTTTGAATTTTCCATGTATTTGTTACATTTTTTCGGGCATCTATCAATGATGAATAAATCTTCTTCTTTTTTGTTACTAAACAAAGAAGAATTTTTAAACAAAAATTTTATTTTTGACAATATGTCAAAAATAAAAATTTTTAAGTTGTTATTTACGTCATTTAGGCTGAATTGTAGCTATTCAATTTTTGTTTATAAATCCAATTGTTTTTTGTTAAGAAACTTTATCTAAATTTGTCAGAGAAACATTTATTAGAATAGAACATTTTTTTAATAATATTTTTTGTAATAATGTTAGCAGCAGTTTTATATAAATAACTAATTTTATTTGGTGAGTTAACAACAACATTATTTATTTCTAGTTCAACTTTGTAAGATATTTTGTATTTTTAGAAGCTCTTGATAAAAATTGTAATCACAATTGAAAGCTCGAGTAAAAAATAGTCAACAAATAGCCCCTTTTATTGACTCCAACCCATCAAAAACAGTGTTATATTTTTTCCAAACGAGTCACAAGTACTTCTTTTTTTTCTTACTCTTATATATATATATATCCAGTTTTTTAGGCGTTACGCCCGTCCGGTAGGGATCTATGGAGGAGTATCACCGAGCCGCAAGCCCTTATCTCTTGCCGTACTGCTCCACCATAGCTGGCTCCACCACCAGGCCGATCAGAACCCAGCATATCCTAGTCTAAGCCGCAGATTCATCTAGAATTTTAAACTGCTGCGTTAGACTTTTTGTTTTCTGTACACCGAGCTGGGGCTCGACCCACATCCACTAAACCATTCGACAGTGAAGCGAATGAGAGGCAGCCGCACAGCCCGCTGAGCTATCTGACCGACTTAATTCTTAAGTTAAAACTAGATCATTTGCAAAATATTATAACAATAATCCCATAATGCAAATATTTTGTGTATGTTAGCACCGTCAGCCAAAGGTACAAGTTGTTTGCTTTTTATGGCATTGTTATTTTCTATTGTGAGCTTATAAATTTGGAATTCTATTTTATGTATGTAGTCCCTTAGAAAACAAAAAAAAAAACGAGTTCTTTGTATACTCTTTGACAATAATAACAAAATTATTGTAAATTAGCACAAAATAAGAAAAGAATGGCAGCTGTATTATATATCAGTTGTTTGAAGATGATGGAAATAATATTGCCGAATTCTACCCAAAACTGATCCACCTACTAAGTTGCTGAAACTAATAGAGGATGATAACATAAAAGTAGTAGTAAGACTTTTTAATTTATTATATAACACAGGAGTAATTCCCACAGATTGACTCACATCCATGTTTGTTACATTACCAAGAAAACACAATGCAAGACATTGATCAGGATATCGATTAATTAGCCTAATGAGCCACACTCTTAAAATTTCACACCCTTGGTTTTAGAAAGGCTATAAGAACCAGGGAGGTACTTTTTGCGCTTCATTCTATTACAAAAATGCCGTGAAAGAAAAAGATGTATTTGTATGTTTCGTGGACTTCTGAAATGCATTAGATAAAGCAAATACTGAAAAATATGGAAATAGATGACAAGGATATTTGTTGTCATTAAAAATTTGTACTGGAATCAAACTGCTATCGTAAAAATTGGAGATAACTACACCGACGAAATTTCCATACAACGAGGAGTCAGACAAGGTTGCATTTTGTCGCCAACATTGTTGAATGTTGACTTGGACTAGTTATTTAAAAAGGCACTTGAAAAACAACCATATGAAATAAAAGTTATCGGGGATCTACTTAATGTAATTAGATATGTAGACGATACTGTAATTCTGTCAGATAATATTGAAGGTCTAAAAATTCTACTTGATCGTATTCACAAGGCAGAAGAGCAAATGGGCATAAAACTGAACTCAAACAAAACTAAATTTTTAGTGTTTTGTCGTGACACGCATCCCGATGTAAAGCTTTAATTAAACGGAGTCTAAGTTGAGAATGTTCACAAAATGACATATTTGGGAACTGTGATAATGGACCAACTAGATCCAGACATAGAAATAAAACGTAGAATAAAGCGCAGAAAAGCTGCATAGATGTTGTATTGAACCAGATTTTGAAGTTCTTCAACCAAGACATTCTTCTTCTTCCTGGACGTCGCTTCAATACAGGGAGAGAACTGCTAAAGACTGTTAAACATCGAAAAATGTCTTATCTGGGACATGTAGTAAGGGCAAGTCGATATAAAATATTACATTGAGAAACATTCGTGAATGGATTCAGATATTAAATGTAGGAGAATTATTCCATATTGCAGAAGATCGAGAAGCCTTCGCAATGGTGATCGCCAACAGCGGATAATTCTGATATTGCACGCGAAGAAAAAGTCCCTTAGAATTTTTACTTCATTCAATATCGTCTTCAACGCGTATTATTTCACATAGCCAAATGAGAAGTCTGGACATAGAGCAATTGAATTATATGATGGTCCTTTGAGCCGGATTATGTTCAGTTACCTCAGTTTTAATTAGAATTTCACTAAAAGCAATTATAATTGTTATCTTTATAAAAACTACTTTATCAGTTTCCACTAATTCTGTTTTATATTAACATAGATGTCATACAGAATAAGAGTCATAAATAAAAAAATAGTAATTATCTTAATATTGTTAATTATAGTAATTTTATTTTTAGGTCCAGTCCAAAAGCTGATAAAGGAACAAAGAGCAGATCACCAACAACGTATCTCAGCAAACAGCTATTCAGTCCACGGTCCAAAAATAAAAACAAAAGTTCAACCAACCTTAATGTAAGACGTTTTAGTACAGATAGTATATTTAACTCACAAACACTTAATAACAAAGACTACAGTACTGTAGTTGGCCGACGACTTAGCAAAGATGCGTCCGCGTTTTTATCTAGCTCTCCACCCGACATCAACAGCAGGCGTTCCAGCTATCTAGACATAATAAACTCCGGAAGTAAATTGGCTGGTAAAAGCCCTATCCTGTCCATCGAAAACCTCTCTGACTGTAGCAAATACTCGGAGCCAATGAGAAAATTGTCGGACTCGGAAAGTATAGGGAAAAAGCTAGCTACTTTGCCAAGGTACGAATCCATAGACAAGCATCGTTTGTTACAGCCTCAACACAGTCTTAATTTGGGTAAAAGTGACGAAGCTTTGTCCAAAACCTTGAAACCTGAACCTGTGGCGCAGGCGAGAAGTTTCAACAACGTATCACAGACAAACACGAACGAAAAAAGTAACTTGTCGGATGACGAAATAGCGAGGAGGAATAAAGAGACGATTAGTCAGTTACAGGTAAGAATTTGATTTAAACTTTTTTTCTTTGGAACTCCAGTAAAAATTAGAATATATTCTCAGATAACTCCAGTACCATGTCCTTTTTGGTCTCAGCGCTACTACATCGATGTTTAGTTTCTGGATTTCTGATGCAATGATATCCCTTTTCAGTCTAATACCCTGTACATTCCACGTACCGAAACTCATATTCCATTTTCTTTGCCATGTCCGTCGTTTATTTGATCCGTCAAATGTTCCGAGGTTTCTGTAAGGATGTTTGGTAAGTTTAGATATTTCCGAGTATTAGAGAACCAGTCTAATGCCTCAACCCCTATCCTGGAGAGCCAGGACAGTTTTTGTTTCATGGTGAGTATTTTATTTACTCACTACCCTCTGAATCTACTGGCTTGTAGACCCAGCGAGCTTCCCCTAATTTTCATAGGGACGCACCCGATGGAGGCAACTGTCAAATCCCCTCACGGGTTTTTTTTGCTCTTTTCATTTTTGCTCTAAATGAGCTTAAATAGTCAAGAGGCACCATGGTGCATAAATATTTTTCTTCTCCGAGAAACAATTCCTGCAGCTGTGACAAAAGTCTCATCTCGAGTACTTTCAGGTACTGCTTTTGTCTCACTGTGATTTTCATCAAGTAGAGACGGCATGTACCTTTGCCGGATTCCACAAATCAGACTATGAGTAACAGTGGGTGTTTGATAGTGCGCATAATGCATTCGGACTTATACATCTTCGGACATATTTCTCGTTACGATGTCTTAAAACAAACTTTGTTTTTTCTGCCATAACTTGAAAAGCGGATTCGTCTGAAAATCCGACAGGAAATTAACAATTTTGTTCATGTTTTATTAATTTTTATATTGTGTTTTAACCCTGCGTTAACATGCCTAGATAAATTATCACTAGAGGTGTTCCGGGGTATGACATACCCCAAACTAAACTAACGCAGGAAGTTAAAATTTTTAAATTTAATCATTTAAATTAATTAATCTTGGTTTTATACTTATTTATGATTCAAATAAAGTAAATAGGGTAATGTAAAAGTGTCATATTTAAATAGTTAACATCATTTATCCAACATATTGCAATTATGCTAGGCAAAAACCACGAGTGAACAATAACACACTCAAATATTATGAAAATTTTTATTGATCACACAACTCTAAATAGCCTAAGATTCTACAAAGCAAAGAAAAAAAGGTTCGCCAAAATACATTGAAAAATAAAAAGTTATGACTTCTCAAAATTGTCGCAATTTGAACACGTCTTTATTGCGTGTTCAAAACAAATTGGAGTATCACATCGCATCCATATGTAAAAAGTCTTCCTATCTTTATTTCGTGGATAAACTGAACATCTACTATTGTCTGATTTTGTCTTTGTTGATTTCGAAACTCAGAAATCAGCTGCACAACCAGTTTTTTCAAAAAAATTTTCTTTTTAATTTATTTTTTTTTGTATTCGTTAACTTGACAATTCACTCCATATGAGACATCTTTTTGAACGCAAATTTTAAACTGCAAATTTCTCTTTCTTGTTCAAAAGTGCTGCTGGAATTTGCCTTTTGTTCTTCTTAACTGTCCCAACCGATGTAGACGGATGAGTCTAAAGTAGATTGATTATGAGCGGATAACTTGTAAACCAGTTATCGAAATTAATATTACGTTCAGTAACAGAAACTATCCCAATTAAACGTTCAACTATGTTTTTAGGATTGTTACTTTGTCGGAAAGGACCTTCTGACTATATGCCAATGTAAACTTCCATGTTTAGACAGTAGCAAGTTTTGGCATCCACTAGCGCAAATACTTTTAAGCCAACTAGTTTATACCGATGCATCAAAAACCCCCGAATTGTAAACAGTAAGATTCGCCATTGTCACAGAGGATTCTGTGCTCAAGTTTCCACTACATAAGGACTACACAATATATTCTGCTGAACTTTTTGCGTTTTCCAAGGCAGTACAACAAACTTTTAATCGGCCTGAAGACCTGAGAGTATTATTCACAGATTCCTTTGCCATTGGTTCTGCTTTTTCTGATAATGAATAATCTGGGTTCAAATCTTCCACTGATTTTGTGCTTGTTTTTTAGTTTTTTTGTAGTTTTTCCAAAAATCGTATTAAACCGTTTTTCACACTTAAAAACTTATCCCTTTCTACTTCTCGAACTCAGATCGTCCTTAAATAATTTTCTTTTCCAATGGGTTCCATCGTCTTACTATTTTTGTGGCTTCAAAAATTATCGACTCTGACCTATAAGGCCTATTTTGGTCCAAATAGTTCGCCCCATGTTAGAGTAAATATAACTCACCCTCTATAACTATTGGTTTTCCAGTTTATGTGAAAGTATTAATTTTTAACAATATATATTTAAAACACACAGCTATATGAATATTATATTTTCAAAGCTACACAATAGCAATATTGTCTCTCTATTGAAAACTTTATTTCACGCCACGATTGAGTTTGAACATATATTTCAGTTAAATAAAAAACATGGTTCAATATTCTTTGTCACATTGCAAATGCGAACAATTTTATTTATTTAAACGAATTTTTTTTTCACAGCTTTGCATCTTTTTTAATTTACTTTGTTTAATGCAATACTTTATTTTGTTGTTTATTCAGCTATGTTTATAACCACATTTGTTGTTATTATTTTCCATGAAATTATAAAAACATTTATGTAATAATTGAGGGGCTTAGAATAAAAGGGATCCAAGTGCAATTTTACTAGTTTTGAAATATTTAAGGTTAAAGTTTTTTGAATACTTAAAATTTCTTGTACATTAGCTACGGTGGTACATAGTATTATTATATTATTAAAGTATCATAAAATTATTATACCTACACAAGTTTTCAAAAAAATAACTAATTCAGCTTTATTATGAAAAAAGCACTTAGACCCTTCTTATTCTGAACGGTCATCCTATCCTTCTTTTTCTTCTTCAGCCTTAAGTAATCCAACTTTGGACATAGGCCTTCCCCGAATCAATCCAGTGTCTTCTCTTTTGTACCACGTGCTTCCAGTTGTGTCCTCTGATTCTCTTAATGTCATCAGCCCATCTCATTTGCGGTCTTCGTCTGCTTCTCTTTCCTAACCATGGCCTCCACTGTTGTATTTCGTGGTTTCATCTCTTATCCTTGAGTCAGGAACTGTGTCCTGCGAAGCTCCATTTTAATTTGGCAGAATGTTTTCCTGCGTCTTTTACTTTGGTTTTGCTTCTAATCCATTTGCTTGTTTTTTTTGTCTATAAGTTTCACCCCGAGCATTAATCTTTTCATCGCTCTTTGTGCTTTTACTACTTTATCCATATTAGACTTGGTGAGTGTCCACGTCTATCAACCATACGTGAATATAGAAAGGATACACTGATTGTAAATTCTGGTTGTCAAATACTGTTCTATTTTAGTGCTGTCCAAGATACAACTCAGTTTTCCAAATCCTACCCACGCTAACCTTATTTTTCTGGCAATTTCGGCAGTTTGATTTTCTTTGTTAATTTTCATTATCTGTCCCAGGTAGATGTATTCGCTTCATCAATCAACCAATCGCGTCCACTGCTGGACATAGGCCTTCCTCAGTTCTTTCCAGTGTTCTCTATACTGGGCCGCTTGTAGCCAGTTTCCCGCTACACGTTTTATATCATCGGTCCATCTAATTGGCGGTCGTCCTCGGCTTCTTTTATAGTTTCTGGGCCTCCATTCCATAATACGTCTTGTCCACCGTCCATCTTGTGCTCTGGCTAAGTGCCCTGCCCAGTTCCACTTAAGCGACGTGGTTCTTTCGATGACGTCTTGAACTCCTGATCTTTGCCTGATTTGTTGGTTTGTTATGTGGTCTCGAAGGCTCACGTTCAGCATTGCACGTTTCATGGCTCGTTGCGTAACTCTGAGTTTATTCGCAGATTTTTGCGTGAGTGTTAAAGTCTCCGCTCAATAAGTTTGTACGGGTAAAACATATTGGTCATAAACCTTTCGCTTGAGACACATGGGAATTGAACTTTTTAGAATATGGCTTAATTTGCGAATGCTGCCCAAGTTAGGCCTATTCGCCTCTGTATTTCATGTGTTTGATTGTCTCTGCTTATTTTGATTTCATGTCCCAGATATTTGTAAGTGTCTGTTTGTTCTATGTTATTATTGTCAATAGTTATATTTCCACTCATTACGAGATTTGTCATAAGTTTAGTTTTCTCAAAGTTTATCTTTAATCCTGCTCTTTCAGACAGACTTTTAAGCGAATGCATCATAGAAACTGTATCTTGTAAATTATCTGCGATTAATACAACATCAGCTGCAAATATTAGGTGGTTTAACCTTTCTCCATCTATATTGATGCCCATATTTTGTTATTGAGTGCTCTTAAATATTGACTCTAGAGCTGCCGTGAACTATTTTGGTGAAATATTGTCTCTTTGTCTAACTCCTCGACCTAAGCTGAATTTTTCTGTGTCTTCGTGTAGTCGTATACTTGATGTAGCGTTCTCGTAGATGTTTTTGATTAGTGTCGTGTACCTATAATCTATTCGGCTTTGATTTAGGGCTTCCAGTATTGTTTCAAACTCTACAGAATCAAAAGCATTCTCGTAATCGACAAATGCAAGAACCAGTGGTATATTGTACTCGATGCACTTTTCTATTAAGATCTTTATGGTATGCAAATGGTCATTTGTGCCATATCCTGCCCTGAAGCCTGCCTGTTCTTTGGGCTGGTATAAATCAAGTTTAGGTGTTATCTTCTTTGTTAAGATTTTCATAAAAAGTTTGTACATATGTGTCAAGAGGCTGATGGGTCTATAATTTTCTAATTTAGTAATATCGCCTTTTTTGTGTAACAAGATTATTACTGCATTGTTCCAGTCTTTTGGAATCGTACGCGCATATAAGCATTTATTAAACAGTTCGTTCTCGCTTAGGTTTCGTCGTATTTGCATGAGAGCTTTTGTATTTTTGCTAATCTTTTCAATTTTGGTGTCATTTTTGTTTGCAAAATTTGAGTTGTGCAGTCTGATATTAATTTATTGTGATCGTCGATACTTAGAGGTTTGGGATTATTACTCTGTAAATTTTCGGCTATATTTTTTTGTATGCTTCTGGATGATTTGGTGAATTCCAAACTATGCGTTTGCAACTGTTTATCATCTTTGCTCTTTCTTTTTGTAGATTTGTCGTTACTCTAGCTCTTACTGGTCTGTGGTCGCTTCCTACTGATAGTTTATTGAGTACAGTGACATCTTGAATAATTTGCTTTTTGTCTGTTATTATTTAATCATATTCGCTCTTAGTTCTTCCGTCTGGACTAGCCCACGTCCATTTTCTATTCTGTTTCTTCTTAAAAAAGATGTTCATTGCATACAGTTTGTGTTGCAGTAGAAAGTTGGTAAGTATTTCGCCTCTTTCGTTTTTTACTCCAATTCCAAAATCTCTGATTGCCACTTCTTGTTCGTCCTTTTTCCTTCCGAGCTTCCCGTTAAAATCTCCCATTATCAGATTGTAATGAGCCGGTTCCTGCTTTTCTGCTCTTTCGTTTTCCTCATAGAAGGCTTCGACAATTTTATCTTCGTAATCGCTGGTGGGGGCGTATACCTGGATTATTTTCAGATTGTATCTCCTATTTAGTCTTAGATTTATATACATAACTCTTGGGGAAATGCAGTCAATGCTCTGTATATTTTTATGTAATTTTTTGTGTACTAATAAACCTATTCCTCCAGTTGTCGTTTCCGTTTCCCCTTTATAGTGAAATATGTTTCCTGATTTTAGTTTGACCTGATCTTCACCTCTTCTTTTGACTTCGCTAATTCCTATAATATCCCATTTCACATGTTTGAGTTCTTCCTCCAGTTCTGTCATTTTTTCATCCTTAGGTAAGGTTCTTACATTATACGTAATTATGTGCAACGTTCGTCGTTCTTGGTAGCCTCTTACATCCATGAGTCCTACCGCTACCTTGGGTGGGAACTAGCGAGCTGCCGGGGACTGAGGGCTGTTTTCTTGAATGTCTGTTCATGCTGAGGGGGTTTTGGCATTTAAACACCACGCTTGCCAGGCGGGTTGGTGAGTTGGTTTGGGAAATTGATAGGATAGTAGGTATTGGGTAGGAATGGGGTAAGGACATGATTTCTTTCTACAGGAGTTGAGAGAGAATCAAGGCTCGCTTAGGGCAGGATCGCATCCCTGAAGTAAGTCTATCCTCCACTGGGATTGTGGAAGAGTACCTACCCGCTACCGCTGTATTCGCTTACTGTTTCTAAATTTATGTCGTTCAACGTTATTTCTGTAATATTCGGTGTATTTGTCATTATTTTTGTTTTTTTCCAAGTTTATCTTAAGACGAAACTTGAAATAGTTGCATCATCATGGTCTGTAGTTCTTCGAAACTTGTAGAGAATATTACAATGTCATCAGTATCTTAAATGACTTGGTTTTCTTTCATTAATATATACTCCCTTATCTGCCAAGTTAATGTCTTTGAACACGTCTTTAAGTCCAAGTATGAATAGCTCTGGTGAGATAACATCTACCTGGGATTAGTATAGCTTTGGTATTTGCATCAAGTTGTATTTTCGTTGTGGCTTTCTCGTAAAAATCAAGCTAATTTGTTTTATTCTTGGTATTTATCGGTTTTTTAAATCACTTTCTAAAGGGAGTCCGAATATAAAAATTTTGAAATGTTTTTTGACAACCTGAAGCTCGTAAACATGTTGTAGTTTGCATAGATGTGTTGGATAATTTCCTTGTTACTAAGTAAAGTCGGCTACATTGTCTTTACAAAAAATACTACTACTACTACTAAAACTTCTTATCTCTGCCAGAATTATGACTGCCAGCTCTTACAACTGGTCATTAAGGCAGTTTTAAAAGTGGCATTATTTTAAGACAATTGTAAATAACGTTTTGGTAATAAAAACAAGATTTTGTTTAAAATGATATTGATAATTAATATTTATTTACCACCATTTTTAGGGAGTGATCATCAACAAACCAAGACCGCCACTTAAACGAAGCAATGACAATAATTCAAAGCAAAACACCAATCCCCAGATACGAATCCAAGTAGAAGATACATCTAAGAATGAAGCTCGTCATCCTCCCCTTTCAAGGAAAACCAAAACTAGGCATCAAAGTCTAGGAGACGCCACCAATAGTTCAGATCCTCCAAAGCGCAACAAACTAACGGAACAATCCAAGTCGTTAGATAGCAGCAATCCATCTACTTCTGAACGAAGAAGATCTAGAGCTAGGTAAGTTAAATTTTTTTATATTCTTTAAGAGTTTTTGCTTGTCCCATAAATATTAAATCATTTGCATTAAGGTTTAACAGTTTTGTTAGAGAGATAGGGTTCCCCTGCCTTGCTCCTTAATTTTAGATCATCTCCATTATTTATCATCAAAATTTGCATTTGTTTTTTCTTATAATATTTGTTAGGTTTTCTTAGTTTCTTTGGTAGCTTCAGTTCCTTTAATGCTTTTATCGTCTGGTCTATAAAGCTTCAAAGTTAAAAAATACTACATGGATTCCTTTGTTACATTCCCAAGAGTTTTGTAGATTTGGTTACGCAGCCATCAAAGTTCCTTTCGACCAATTCATCTTTTTTCGTTCACTTTTCTTTACATTATAAGGTGAAGTAGATGGTATTTCAATATGTTGTGTTTTGAGGGGTATATTGGCATTAAAACAACACGCTTGCTGGATGGGTTGGTGAGTGTTCGCAGTATCACAGCCGGATAAATCAGTATTTGATTTTTAAGTGTGACTGTGTGCTATGGTACTGCACCTGTCAGGAATTGTATTCTTTAACCACGGGTCACTAATGACACATCATTACATTAGGAAGATTGAAGGACAAAACCGGAAGCAAGTGGTGCAAAATAGAAGACACTGGATTAATTTGGGGAAGGCCTATGTCCAAAGTTGGATTACTTAAGGCTAAAGAGAAAGAAAAAGATGGTATTTAGCCCCTCTAATTATGTGGCCGAATTACTTTGTTTTTCTCTTCCTTATGATATTTATAATTAGACGTTTTAAATTCATCATTTTAAGAACATCTTCATTGGAGGTGTGCGAAACCCATGATATTTTATTTTTAGGAACCTTTAATAGCATCACAATTGAAATATTTCTAATTTGTTTAGCATAGTGGTTTTTATTGTTCATGTTTTACAACCCTATAATAAAATAGACCACACATAATTTCTTTCTGTTACATAAAAATGATTTCCAGATCATAAAAGCCTTACATGATAATTCGATCCTGATTATTATCTCTTCATGAAAGTCACAAATTACATTTAACGGGCTGCCAAGCTATTTAAAGTGGTTTTCACATTTTATTTCCTGTCCATTAAGAGAAAGCAGACCTTAACCTGTATAAATCTTTTTAACTGTCATTCGTTTTGTCTTTGAAATGTTAATTTTGGAGCCTCTCCGATAACTTGCTTTACTGGTTAGATTTTCTGTTACCGTATTAGTTTCTAACATCCGAGTTTTTTATCGAAGTTAATTGATTTTCTTCATTTAAAAACACGTTTCTTGGATATCTTTGAAGATGCTCTAGGAAGCAGAAATACTTGGGCAAGATTTGATTAATAAACTGTGCTCGATATCTGCCTTTTCATTTAATCAAAGTTCATTTATTCGAGCATTTTACCTTATATCAATATTGATATTAATTTCGTACTTAAACATATAATTTAATTATTCTTGTTCTTAACGTGCCCTATCAAGTCCCCTTGACGTTGGCGATTAACATGGAGAAACTATCTCTGTCTCGAATTATTCCAAATAGTTGCGCAGCTTTCTTTATTCCTCTCCACTCCCTGATATTATTCAACCAAGATGCCTGCTTTCTACCAATTCGTCTGCGTCCTTCGATTTTACCCATCATAATAAGTTAAAGAATATTATATCGGTCTCCCCTTACTACGTGTTCAAAATAGGCCATCTTTCTACATTTGATGTTATCAAGCAGCTTGCGAGCAGAATTTGCTCTCTCAAGGACTGCCACATTTGTCAGCATAGCTGTCCATGGAATTTTTAGTATACGTCTGTGCAGCCACATTTCAAAGGCCTCCAGACGATTAATGGTGGATATTTTTAGTGTCCATGCTTCGACACCGTATAAGAGGACTGACCAAATGTAGCATTTAACCATGCGCTTTCGAAGTTAAACTTGCAAGTTATCATTACAGAAGAATGACCTCATTTTTAAAAATGTCTTGCGGGCTATCTCGATTCTACATTTTATCTCTTTCTGGATCTAGTTGTTCAGTAATATGGCAACCAAGATATTTAAAACTGGACACTCTTTGAATTATATGACCATCAACATATAATCGTGCATCTTGATGTGCTAAACGGCTAAACACCATGTGTTTTGTTTTTGAACAGTTTATGTTTAGGCCATACTCTCTTCCCACTGTATAAATGGCATTTAAAAGGCGTTTTAATCCATTAATGTCATCACTTAAAATAACTGTATCGTCTGAATATCTGATTGTATTTATCAGAAGTCCATTAACTTTCACGCCCCATCCCAAATTATGCAGCGCTTCTTTAAATGTTCTATCTGAACATAAATTAAATAACAGTGGGGATAGTATACAACCCTGTCTGACACCTCTTTGTATTTTACATATTTCTGTTGATTTTCCGTTTATGCAAGCTGTCGCTGTTTGACGCCAGTATAACTTTTCTATGAATCGTGTGTCTTGACTATCAACTCCTTTATCTTTTAATATTGTAATTAATTTGTGATGCTGTACTCGATCAAAGGCTTTTTAATAGTCAATAAATACAGCAAAGACGTCTTTCCTTTGATCTCGATATTTCTGCGGTAATACATTTAGTGCAAAGAGGGCGTCCCGAGTTCCCAGTCCATTTCTGAAGCCAAATTGTGTTTCATCCTGATCTTTTTCACATTTATCTCTGATTGTACTGTGGATGATGCGTAGAAATATTTTTAAAGTGTGGCTCATAAGGCTTATTATTCTATAATTGCTACAATTTTTCGGACGTTGTTTTCTTGGTAATGTTATGAATTCGGACTTTAACCAATCTTCAAGTATATCACCAGTCGAATAAACACCATTGAAAAGTTTGACCAGTATTCCAATGTTCTCATCCCTTATAAGCTTTAACATCTCTGTCGGTATGTTATCAGGGCCAACGGCTTTCTTGTTCTTTGCTAACTTTATAGCATGCAGTATTTCTGATTTTAGTATTTCTGGTCCTTCACTTTCAACTAAAGTCTCCGGTTCTTCAGGTTTATCATCAGTATACAGTTCACTTATATAATTACACCAGGTTGTTCGAATTTCATGTTCATCTATTCTCATTTTTCCCGACGAATCCGTTATAGTATGTGGAGTTTTCTTATGATAAAGACCAGCTACTTCTCTAACTTTTTTAAACATATTAAACGTATCATATTTTTCATTCAACTTTTCTAATTCCTTGCATTTATCCTTCATCCATTTTTTTTAGCTACCTTTATTTTTTGTTTAATTAGTTTCTGGTTTTCCTTATATTCTGTCTTGTTACCTTTCAGTTTCCTTGTCTGCTCCATTTATTTCAGGATTTAATTATTAATTAATTTAATTATTAATTATGTATTTATTTAATTTAATTTTAATTAATATTATTAATTTAATTTAATTATTAATTAAAGTAATTTGCGTATTTATTTGTTATCTACAGATCTAAATCCAGAGACGATGATTTACCACCAGCTCCTCCACCACCCAACTGCTCACCGAGGAACTCGAACGGTAGATCACCCCTGGAACGTTTGTCCAAAGACGAACTCGTACTCCTATGGAGAAGTTCTGAATCAGAACTAAGAAGCCATCTGCTGAAGGCGCTTCGCGGTAAAGAAGAACCTTCGGACCCGCCTTGAAGAAAGTAAAGAGGAAATCTTACTTTCTGTGACATTTGGAGCCACTTGTGGCAGACAAATTTAAAAAATGCGTTTTTTATGATCATCGACCATCATCATCAGCATCTTTTAAGACGAGTCATCATTAGAAAAACCAAATAATACATTTTGGAAGTCGTTTAATCTTTGGGCATGGAGAAACGCGCATTGCGGTGGTGCCTAAGGATGACTAAACGGCCTTATAGAATTGTAGAGTGATATAAAAATTGACCACTAAGTGTTATTAGAAGCCTTGTAGTCTAAGCCCTTTATGAGAAAAATACTACATTTTATGATGAAATACTGTGTTCATAAAATTACCAAGATCGCTATGAAACTTATCGACTTTTCTTTTTTTTTTCGAAAATCATTGCTAAAGACAATACAGCTGCAAAAGACTAAATTTGAGACGTTTGTGTCCAATTTAATTAATTAAATTACACCATATCAAATAAATCGGTATAAAGATTACGTTTCTATATAGACACTGTTGTCCCTATGGATGTTTATAAAGGTTTTTATCTTTAGCTGTTTTAAGTACATTAGTTTTACAAAATTAGTAGCCTGTTAAATGTCAGATTTGGTCAGTCCATCGAGTCAGTAACTCTCCCCTGGTTATTATTTCTAAAACGTTTTCGAAAATTAAAAAATTACCAAAGACTTAGCTATCGATAGGTTGTAGTATCGTTTAAATATTCTTCTTCTTGTTTAACCTTTATAAATTTTAAATAACGTTATTTGATAAAGGAAAAGCACAAACTGGCACGAAAAAAGGAAAATCACGATCCTGCTAATTTATTAGCTCTGTGTACTTGATCTCTTACTTCAGTTTTAACGACTTTATAGGTGGACATTGTAATCTTTAGATACTTTATTTTCGTTGGTTGGTCAATAATAACTCCATCGACTTCCAGTTTACACCTTATGGGAGACTGATTAAACTTGGACCACTTTTTGCGTTAAAGTTTTTAATTCTTAATTTTAACTAAATTTCGGATCAAAGTTTATTTAGAATAAGAATTCAAAAAAGCTTAAAAAACTGCAAAACTAATTGTTTGTCAAATGGTTCATGGTGCACGATACTCATGTACCTTGTGACAGGCATCTAATACCTTGAGCCAAATACAAAACTACAAAGGGTACTTAAAAGCACTCGGTTTTTAAGAATATTTGGATTATTTAAAGCATGTTTTTATTACAACATAAAGATTTTATGGTTTTAGGTAAATTTTAAAGAACATCAATATAAGCATTCTTTTTCTTCACCAACACTGTAATCATTATCCTTTTATGTCATGGATAACTCTTCAAAACCAGATAAGTCACTGGATGCTTGTTGAAACCCTTGTTTGTTTTTTCTGCCTATGTACTCTTTCCTCAGTAGGGTAATCCACACATGTCCCTAGATGTCGTGTTACTTTTTTTCATTGTTAATACCCTTCTTTGACTTTTTTGTTAGAAAGAAACAACGCTAGAAGCAGAAACACCTGAAACTACCACAAATAAAGAACTTAATATAAATGTACAGGAAGTTTGGAAAATACTTGAAAACCTGATGAACAGAAAAGCAGCAGGTAAAGACGGGATACCAAACGAAAAACTGAAATATTGTGAAGCAGAAATGACAGAACAATTAACAACATTAATTAATTGAATTAAAAAACACTATAAAATACCGGAAAAATGGAGACCAAGCGAACTAATTCTACTATTCAAAATAGGAGATAAAGAAACCAGAAAACTATAGAGGTTTAAACTTGTTAAATTCTACACTAAAACTTACAACTAAAATTTTATAAAAGTTAATAAAACAGAGGAAAAGTTTAGTAGAAGAACAACAGGGTGTTCGTAGTGGAAGATCGTGCACAGATGCAATATTCGTTATGAAGAAAATTACTTAGAAATCACTAGAGATAATAGACCAGCATTTATGTATCTGGTTGACCTAAAAAAAGCGTTTAACAGAGAAAGATTTAAAGATGGAATCCATCTTCTTTATAATAGAGAAGTTTCCATAAATATTATAAAAACTACCGAAACCATCTACCAAAACAACAAAATGAAAGTAAAAATAGACGCACAGCTTACAGAATCCCTAGAAATAGGCAGCGAAATAAGATAAGGGGATTCGTTGAGCCCCATGCTCTTTAATTTGATCATGAATAAAATTATCAAATGCATTAACAAAGAAACAGGATACAGAATACGAAACAAAGAAATAAAAATACTCTGTTACGCAGACAACGCAATATTGATAGCCCATAATGAAGACAGTCTGCAAAGGCTGATCCACAGATTTAACAAAAGAATTTAATATGACAATCTTCTCAGAAAACTTAAACAATAGTAGTCAGCTAAGAACCAACCAGATGTAAAATAGGAATTGATGGCATCAGTATTGAACAAGTAATGAAAATAAAATACCTGGGAACGACATTGTCCGGCTATGGATACCTGGACAAAAAAATGAGAGATCAAGTACAAAAAGTGAATAGACTGGCAGGATTCCTTAATAACACTATATGGTAAAACAAACACATTAACACCGAAATGAAGTCAAGAATTTATAAAGACAGTATAAAACCAATAATGACATATCACTCAGAAACAAGACCCTTCACAGTCACCACGCAAAGGTTACTGGAAATGGCAGAGATTGGCAAAGAAGAAGACTCTATGTTTGCTTTTTGTTTTTTGATTAAATTTTTCTCTGGTGCTTCAATGGAAATCATGGTTCTTTCCGGTTTTATTGCCTATTACTCCTACGCTCCTTGGCCTTGGGATAAGTTTGTACTAAAATAAATGTTTTTATTTTTTTCATGTTAGCCTTTGATATTGCAAAGGGTGTGAAGATAAGAACGTAAGAACTATTATTGTCTCAAAAACTGAATAAGATGAGGCAAGCTCTAAAAAACTCAAAGGTAACAGAGTTGGAAAAGTTAAAAGCAGAGGTTGTGAAGTAGTCAAAGGCATATCTTTTAAATAAGTTAAATGACCAGTGTCTACCGAAATAGAAGTGACAGGGGTAGAAGCGTTTAAGGGTCTATTAGTCACTTAAGAATATAAATAATTATCATTAATGAAAATTCTCTCAATGAAAGGAAACATTATTGACTTACGAAAGGCAAAATAAGATGTTGTTCGGAATGAAAGTTTTTAGGTAAGTTGTACTTAAAACATCAACGACACTGTAAATATCAACGGGTTTTATTTTGTTTCCCAAAAGCCATCCTTCAACAGCTAGATTTTAATATGTTTGTAATGAACCCCTGAGTCATAGTTCCAAGGGTTGTAGTCTATATGACGTCGAAAGAGGATATTACGATATCGATATTACGACCGATATTAAATGTAAACCCTCGCCTTTTGATGTTTTGACGTTATTCATAAAATTTGATTTGCTGTGCCAATGCATCGTACGGGTCCAACAAACATCATTCTTTCATTAAAATGAACCTGTGGAAGTATCGTCATGGGAGATAATGAATTACCAATTGCATTTACCGCAGCAATAACCGTATTCTTCTTATGTAGTACTATATATTTCTTTAATATGTTTTTTTTTTGTTTAAGTAATCACGTTTTATGATTACTAATAATAGATTTGGTAAACATATGTTCAGACAGGAATTTATATGGCCGAAAATCCGATAAGTTGCCTACTAATATATTACAGATAGATCGGTCTCGGAAAAAATGCGATTTTTCACATTAGTCTTCTTAATATGTTTGTGTAATACGGAAACTTGACCTTTTTTGACTACAAAAATGGTGTGCAATTCCTGGATTGTTTAACTTTTTTGACCAACTTATTATAAAAGCTTAAACTTAGCAGATGAGCAACAAAGTTTCCGTTCGGGAAGGTCGTGTACAAATGAAATATTCGTCATATCGATGTTTGGTCAAGTATTCCTATACATTGTAACGACAATATTTTGCCTACCACAGGGGGCATTAATACGGGAGATAGAAAATTGGGGAAAAAACTATTGGAGGTGGAGATAGGGCAAGCCAAATAATCGCTACTGATGCGAACGGCACTCAGGGTTTCGTAGGAGAGCTGGGGTCGTGGATAAGTAAAAGATAAGGGCAATGGAATGGGGGAACTACAAAAAAATGAAATAAAGGGCTCTTGGGATAAACAAAATAAAAATAAACAAGAAACACCTCAAGGAATTTAATATAGGGCGCCAATTGAGATGCCTAATTATGCCTATTACAACCACTGGTTGTAACTAGGGAAATAATTAGAAAACAAATCAAAACATAAAAAACATATCTTTTTCAAATAAGAATCAAAAAGGTTTGTCTCAAAAAAAATAAATAAAAAGTTAAGACAACAAAATTTAACCTTTATTTATGTGTCACCACAAACAGTTACATGGAGAAAAAACAAAACACAAAAACTTAGATGTGTCATCCGCTTACAAACTCTGTTGCTACAAAACTTACAAAATTGCATGGAGGTTAACCTTTTTTTTTAACAAAACAAAGTAAAATCAAAAAATAATAAAACGAGCTGTCATAAATTACCATTAAATTTCAAAAAAACTAAACACATAAATTGACAGCTCAACTCAAAACCAAAAATTTACAATTTTGAATGTAACGAAAGCAATTATTATTTCATAAAAAAAATTGTGTGTCTTTAGTTTAAAATTTGAACACAAAAAAAAAACAGTTACCTTGATTTACATATTTCCACTTCACAAAAAGAACTTGTTATATCTCTGTAGCATCCATCCGGAGATCAGCAGCAAACACATCCATTTGGGGCCGAAACAGGAACAGGACATCCATTGGGGTCCGGAACACACCAGGGAAAACGGGAACTCTCAAAAAAAAAAACATGAACCCTCCAACAGGAACCAGACTTTTCAAAAATCTCGAAATATCGAGCGAAAACTTCACTACTCCCGGCAAATTAATGTCGGTCACTTCATACTGGAACTGGACAAAATCCATCACTACTGCTACCCATT